ACCATCCTCGTTCTCCCAAACGTCAAAACCACCATTCAAGCAACTAAACTGTAGAGGAAGTCCATCAATGTTCCATGCTGTGACACATACTTTGCATATGCACTTGACAAAGTCCCTCTTTCTTGAGACAACAAAATGAAGGGTGATCAGTTCCCGATCTAATTCCACTTAGGAACTGGAAACCGGATTAGCAGGATCGGTTCTCCGTTTCTGGAACTGAGAACCAGACCACCTGGCCTTGGAACTAGTGGATGCCGAGCTTGTCGGCCAAGTCAAGGGTTCAACCAAGAAAGAAGTCGGAGAGGATGGCCACGCGAGAGTTGGGGTCGCAGCCGAACCATCAAGCGAGGGGAGGCAGAGGGCAAAGATCAAAGCCGATCTAGAGAATGCATAACCAAGATCAAAGCCCTCGACCCATGATTCCCATCTCTTTCACTTCCAACCAAATCAAATTCACCCAGAAGCAGGATAAGCGAAAACCTAGAACACGAACTAACAAATAACTTAATTCGTACAACAATGTCGCATTGTCCGAGCCCTTCACAAAAAATTCCAATCATCAAACCTAATTTCCAAACTCGCCATCCCCATAACAACCCCTAAATCAAGGTAAGGAATCCCCAATTATACATCCACAGTGATTTTTCAAGTCATACATCTCATCGTACTACCTTTTCAAGTTCTTCATGTTTGACTCAATGTAAGGACTACCTCTAATGTAAGAACTAAGGAATTTTTCATCAAACCACTTTTCTAATATAGTTATGTAACCATTCTTGAAGCCATTATCGACTGTCATTCCTCTAGCAACAAGTTCTTCAAGACCATCTAGACTCGCATTTTCCTATCCATTGACCATGCATGTTGGTCTCTCTTTATTCCCTTTCGTTGAGTTTGACTGCAACCACCACGTTCCAATCCTAAACAACTTGTTGCAATAGTAACAACTCCCATTAAAGGTACAAACAAGAAAGGCCCAGATACCAAGTTTTTTTAATTCTTCTATTGTTATATTCTTTTTGCAAAACTTTCACGATTTTCTTATTTAATGAAAACATCACGTTCGTCGTAAGTTACATAGCCAGAAAAAATTAAATGACAACTGGTAATTTTTAAAGAAGAGGTGATTTTCGAGCAGCAGGATACTTTCGGACAATTCAAATCCGAAGTCACAATTTAGTTCGCCCTGAACGACACGCTGCCCTGGACTTGGGGTCCATTGACTTGTCCATTTTGCGGAAAGGAACTCCCAAAGCAGAAGGTCCTGCTTGCCCCTTTATTATTATGTTTAGCCTACGCGTATGAGGGAGTGTTAAGAGTATTCGTACAATAAACAACTCTTCATCGGGTAACTTAAGTTTTTTAGAATAGTTAGTTGTGTGATCTCTAGAATAGTTAGTTGTGATCTCACAATATCTTACAAAAAGAAGTACCAAGTCGGGGCAAACTTACTAGGAACCCTATTTGATGTATAGGTCTATGATGTTTCGATCCAATATTGTGGTGTCATTCTCTCATGAGTTCATGTCGCTTGAAATTATCTTCGGATGCATGAACGATTTCTCTTGCATGCAGGGGAAAGTGCAAATAATTAAAAGGTTTTACTCTAGGTTCGTTTGGTGGTGTCCCATCGATGGCGAATACATTGTCCTCGAACAAACCAACGATTCATTCCGGTGCATCATCTTCGCTTCATTGCTTAGAGTGGACGACGGCCTTATGTAAGTCATCCCATCCAGTCGGGACAATATCTCGAAAGTCAATGTCAGCACATGGTAGCTTAAAATATCTTATTTAGTAGTCAAACTTCTCGCTCGACTGATCCGATGCGTCGATTAATCCCTCTTCTTCATGCATCATCTTTGCAGGTCCAAGGAACAAAGCGCTTTGACGGTATCCCAATCCGGTGGTGTAGCATCTCCGTCCAGCCTCGATAGGTTGACAAATACCTTGGCTATGTTTTCCTGAGCCCTCATTAGGGATGAAGTCATTTCAAGCCATCACTTTGCCTACCATGACTGTGGCTTTTGATACCTCCGAAGCCGGACGGGTAGTGCCTCGAGATGCATGAATGATCAACACTGGCTCAAACGATTGATAATGGGACTCAGTCTTGCCGGTTCGGTTCGATATAGCGGATAGCGATCTTATGGTAATTCTTGAAATCTTCTTTGCCACGAATCGTAGTTACTTTCCCTTCTATCACAAATTTGGAGACTCGAGGGTACGGCACCCTTCGCATGTTGAACATGGTAGGAATAACCAAAAACTTGAAAGACGGCATTGAACATGTCGGTCCTATCTACATGTCCAGGTCCATCTCTCCAATCACGCATTTCTTTGTTGTGTCGAATGCACCTACGAAGATTGCAAAAATATTCAGTGACTTATGATAAAATAATACAATGTGTTCCGAACTCAAATGCCATGGGAATATTTAAAATTTTTCAATTGTCATGAACCATGATAATTTTAGAGCGGACGACCAAAATAAGAATCAATTATATTGATGGTTTGATGCTCGGACATTGGTTGATTCGATATCTGAGGCCAAAACTATTGTGGTAGCCAAAATGAATTATGGTATAACAAAATTAGATGTGTTACGACTTCTTAAGAGTAGGTTATCGAAAAGCCGTTACAGAAGCTTTCATTGACTTACAACAAAATTGCCACGATTACAACGGGTTAGGAGCTAAAAATCATGGAAATATTTTTCAAGTTTCTTCGACTCTCATGAGCCATGATAATATAAAATCAAGTGGGTGGAAAAAAATAGGAACCTTGCACTCGATGCTTAGATATTGGTCAACCGATTTTCGAGACTAATCCAGTACTTTACAACAAAAATGAACCGTGGTACAACGCAACGACATCTTTTACGACATGTTACGACTTATTCATTGAAAAGCTATCGGGACAATTTTGAATGATTCACAGCAAAAATGAACGGAATGATGATTTGTTATGAGCTCAAACTGCCAAATCGAAGCTTGTGTGACACTTGAATAAGCAACCAGCAACAAAAAACTGCGGAGGTAACATGTTCTGACTCTGTTACGACAGGCAAGAAGGAGGAGGAGGAGAAGAAGAGGGGCCTTCATTCACTGTCAGTGCCACTCTCTCAAGTTGCAGGTGGGTGAGTACATGTACATGTTTCTGTCTCGGCGCTTCTAATGTACTGCAACAAGCTTTGTAATCGGTCGCGAACAATAAAAACGGCAAAGATTGCTCTGTTCGACGAATGCTGCTCTTCTTTTGCTCTGCTTTCTCGCAGAACGTTTTTAGCATCAACGGTGAAGTGATCGACTCAGAGTCCGACCAATCCGGCCCATTCGGCCGATATGAATCGGATCGTTCCTCCTCAATCGCGCGATCAACTTCAGTTTGTGGGGCTGTCTGACTTTGGCTTCTCTTCCCTACCTAGTTTTCCAATTCTTCACTCCCTTTTTTTCCCCCTCCATTTTGTAAGATCTTACAAATTGTAAGCTATACAAGGACCTAGCTGGATTACTAGGAGAAACTTCAGAAAAGTTTGATTATTGCGTCAGATACTCAACACCTACAAGTTCTATCCAAGGGTCCCGTAGCATGATGTACAGTCAATATGTGAAGAATGACATATCAAAATAGGATTAAAAAAACACTATGATGAATCGAAGGATGATATATATATTCGTTGGATAGTTTTATCTCTTCCAATACCACATGAGATCAGAATGCTTCTTCTTTCACTTGATCTGGATTGGTATCCTCCATTTCAAACAGTTATAATGCAATCAATAGAAAGAAGTTTTCTTAGGGACTAGATTGAAAAGATTTAAGAAAGTCAGGACAAGTTTAGAATTTCTTATTCTCATAAAGGACCACTTGGGAAAAGACCAATTCAAGGACAAAACAAGAAATTTAGAGGGAATAATCCTGATTTTAACTCCTTAGTAGTCATAAGTAAATATGTCGCAAGTGCATCGGTTCAAGAGTTTTTTGCTGCGTTTGATTCAACTTTGGAGGGATGCAAAGCCATTTCTCCACGGATCCTTGAATGAAGGTGGATTTGCTAAAAGCAAACAACTCTTTTGGTTGATGTATATTCTGTGTAAAGCAACTTTGAAATAAAAAAGAAAAAAGAGAGGGCAAACATCGGCAAGTGTCGGCAAAGAAGCCATGGAGTTTGGGCAATCGTCAGTGGCAACCATAGGCGAGGCTCGACAGCAGTGGCCAGAGGCGACCGTCGGCCAGGTGAGCGGTGACCGACGACCCTCGTTGCCGCAGATCTGGTCGCAACCCTCATTGAAGCTCAGCAAAAGCACCAAGCGACGGAGGTCCATGAAGCTCAAAGAAGCCAAAGCGAGGCCCGTTGCCGAGGTCGCAATCCTAAAGCCCCTGGAAAAGCTGAACTAAACGGAGCCTTTAAGGTGCATTGGAAATTTTGAAGTAAACATGTTCAAGAGGGCACAATTCAGGATTTTTCGTGAATTTTTCCGAATTGTTTTTTGTCTCACTACTATCTTGACCTTTTTTTCCTCTTTTTGGAGTGCTCATGGAAAAAGGATCGATTTTTCATTTCGAAAAGGCGGCATTTGGTATTTTATGGGCCAAAATAGAATAAATAAATTTCAATCTTGTTCAACGGGTCACCAAAAATCCTAAAACTCATCACGAAAGTACGATTGAGTCCTAAAATTTTCAAAAAGTACAATCAAATCTTAAAATTTATCAAATCTGTCCAATCAAGTTCCTCAGTTGATTGCACTTTCGGAAAGTTTCGGAACTCATATTATACTTTCGTAATAAGTTTCATGACTCGATTGCACTTACGCGATAAGTTTTAGTACTCGATTGCGTCTGTTGAAAGTTTCAGGACTCAAATTATATTTTCGTAGCAAGTTTCGGGATTGTCGGTGCACTTATCCCTCGTTTTAATAAGCAGAAAGTACAATTAGATCATGGCTTTTTGGACCGAATCCAATTGGTAATTTCTTCCCACACAACGAGATTTATACGTTGAGAGAGAGAGAGAGAAAGGGAGGGATATAGCTTTGGCGCCAGGTGCTCATGGAGCGATGGAGCGCTACCCTGAAGGTCCCCGTCCACGCCAATGGCGCCGCTCGCTGCTGCAGAGTCGCGGTTTCTCTCTGCACCTCGCCTCCTTCCGAAACCCTAACCGTACGGCCCCTTCCTCCCTTCCTTTGCTCCCCCCCGCTGCAAACCCTCTGCTTGATTTTTGCCTCCGTGTTTCTTCGCGCGCCCCGCGTGATGGCGGGGGGACCAGGCGCCGTCCGCGAACGCGGTCTTCTTCGGTGGGGATCGGGCCGGAGGGACCGGGAACCCCGTCGTGGAGAGGCTGTCGGACCCGCAGGCGGTAGCGGAGGTCCTGGTGTCCAAGTTCGGCGGCTCCGTCAACGCTTGGGTCGTCGAGGCTTCCACCTTCAACGGCCCTTTCGCTGTCTACAAGGAGTTCGTGCCTTCGGCGAACAAGTACGGGGAGCCGAGATCGTATAGCCACGTCGGGTTCCCCGCATCTTCGTCGACGCTCTCGCTGTTGTCCAATTGCCTTGAGGAGGTAATTTCCTGGTGTGCTGTTGCATCTTGGAACGGGCATATTTGAAAACAGAGAAGTTGTGTTCTTGCTGGTATCTTTGGTGAAGCGACCTTGTGCATTTGTTTGATCTGGCGTGTGATTCTGAATCTTTTCATAGGGAGTGTTGTCCTTATGCATGAGTTTGGAACATAGACGGAAGTTGAGGAACCAGTTTCTTGCAAGGATCTTCATTTGATCATGGCTACAAATTAAAGAGAAAAATTGGAAAATTAGAAGGAAAACAAAGATGACTGTGCCATGAAAAATGTGGAGAATTGCTAATTTACAAAGGAAATCATTGTACATGGGACATGGAGTCATATGATATGTGCTCTCTGCTACATCCTCTTTCACTCATATTCAGTGTTTTCTGTTACTTCCTAGAGTTGGTTAGTTACCGATTGAGTGAATGAGGAACATGGATACGTGAAGCATCTTGGGAAATGGTGTCTGTCACTGAATTTCCTTTTCCATTGACACCTGAATTTGGAAACGTACATGGCATGATAGGATCCGAGCACCAAATACAAAAAGGCTTGAAGAATATAACCTGAATAGCATTTATTGAAAAATAAGGACGAATGAAGTCGGGTTACAATTGGAAGCGTCCTCATTTTACAACTTAAGAATATGACCACTGCTTTAAGCCATCTAAAATCCATGTATTTGGTCTTTTTTTAAACTCGAAAGTTTTTTCTGGTAGGATGTTTATCTCATGCTAATTAGTCGGGCATTTCAGGCAAAGAATGTCCTTTCAAGGAAAAGTAATCCTGTCTCCACAAGCTCATTACCACCACAGGGACATGAGCCGAAAACCGTCATCCTCGGTTTTAGCAAAGGTGGCACTGTGCTTAACCAGCTTGTGACCGAGCTCAGCCATTCCCAAACAGCATCTTCTGGACATCCATCCTCTGCTGAACAAGAGCTATTGGGTCGTGAAGTTTCCGACATCCGGGCGGGGACTCAAGTTTTACCTACTACAATAGAAAGATTTCTGAACAGCATCCAAGAAATTCATTATGTTGATGTTGGCCTAAATTCCTCCGGCGCATACATCACTGATCCAAATGTGATTGGCAGACTCTCCCAACAGTTCGTACAACGAGCTCAGGCGTTGCATTTTGTCCTCCATGGAACTCCTAGGCAATGGTGCGACCGTAATCGCATTTGGATTTGCCGCGAAAAGGATAGACTGCTTCATCTGCTCAAATCTGAATCTCAGAAGGCCGGAGGCAAAATACAGGTAGCAGAGAAATTTTATTTTGCTGACAGGCCTCCAAATCTAGAGATGCATTTTGCGATAATTGAAAAGTTGGATGTGAGCATCTAATTTCGCGAATGTTACAGTGTGGCATCATGACTTGTACAGCATTTTGTTTAGACAGAGTTGAGGGCTGCTTGTTTGTGCCTCTGTTCACTGCACTTACCCAGTTATTCTCACTCTTGTTGCCCAGTCACAGGCATATAGTTTTTATTTGGCTAAAACTAAAGAGTAATTCCGAGTATGATTGAGAACTACCTCAGTGTAATTAAGAGTGCAAACAAACAATGTCATCTTTAAGGCCATCTATTTAGGTTTCAGCTCATGTCTTTTCCTGTTCCATGGGATAAGGTACCTCGGACTTAGATCGAGTTTGAGTCTCATGTCATGGGACAAAGTCAAATGGTAACGGAATGTACCCGTCTGGTTGGCCATTTTTTTCCTTTTCCTTATAGTCAAGCTTCAAACCATGCAGCCTCTCCTTTAAGTCGAGTTGGATTACACTTTTGATATCGAAGCTATTCCTAACTCGAGGTTCGGTGATCGCTCCTTTTCTAACTTATCCAGCCACCTATTGACTGATAATTAACAACAACAGAAATATTACCAGTATGTTTCTTTGAATATAAACCTATATTGGTATATTCTATCTATTTTGGCGCACAGACAAACAGAAAAAATCCACCCAACTTGACCTTGTTCGGTCGATCCCCATGAAGGATCTACATCCCTGACTTTGCAGCACTTTTCACTGGAAAGTTTTCAAAATGGACGTCATGAAAGTTGATAAAAAATGAAAAGGAGTTGCATACCCCATTCTGATGGCAACACAAGAATCACCAAGCAGGATTACAATCGGTTCCTGAAGTTTCTATCGCAACTCTTCCACGTATAGATCCGCCATGTTCAATCTCAAATTGACTAATGCAGTGCAACAATCTCTGAGGGGAAATACAAATAAGGAGTTTAAAAGAGATCAATTAAGTTTTAAGGTTGTCCAAGGTGATGAAGAACCGAAAAAATTGGTGGACAATTTCGCCCTTAGAATTGCGACGACTTGAATACATCGAGCGCACACCGAATGAGCCGGCGCTTCTAGGGTCACATATGAAAGATACAAGGCCGCATCCATTGTGCTAAAATGACTGGTTTTGACTTGTAATAGATGCCGATTGTAAGTAATTTATGCACTCAAAAGGTAATATATGATCTGTAAGATAATTTCACATTTACAAATATTTACAAATCTAAAGATAATTTATGATGTCGAAACTAAATTTACAAACATCGTTTTGTAACCAATTTACCGAGAATAAGTACAATTACAATCATTAAGAATTAGCCCTCACTCTACTTATTAATTACATGGGAAATTACTACATTAAAGATGAATCACATATTATAAATTAAATTACTGCTTCGAATTACTTCTTATCAGATAAATAACTTCGTCTTAAGAAATGTTACTACTTTGAAGGTAAATTACTCCTTGCAAATATCATACAAGTAATGTTCTACCTTGCGTGAGGTGAATACAACAATAACAAGAAAATTACGATAGAAAATTACCAAATTGCTGAAAAGCAATTTGCTATCTCACAAAAAAAAAACATTTGCAATTAAATGGAAATTACGAAACGACGACCTTCGCGAGAAGTAATTTCGATAGGAAATTGCAACATAGCATTATACTTCGATATTTGAAAACGTTGTCACCAGTAATTATTATTATTATTATTTTGGTCGAACACCAGCAATTATTTGGTAATATTGTAATTTTGCTTAAATAGTCGAAATTTGATGGTTCTTTTGTTTGCTCGATGCTTCTAACTTCGACAACTCCGTGAGTTGTCCATGGAGCAGTTGAAGTCCGTCGTTTGGACTCCCCTGGAACGAAGATGCCTCCACCTCCTCCAACGGGCCAGGAGCTCGAGACCCGCCCTCCTCCAGATCCACGCCTTCATGCTCCGCCACGCTCTCGACCTCAACGTCAATCTCGTCACCAAGCTCGTCGCCAGCTGCGCCTCCGTCGCCTCCGGTGCCGACCCGCTCGCCGGGTTACGCCACGCCCGCCTCGTGTTCGACGGAAGTCCCCACAGAGACGATGGGTTCCTCTGCAACGCCGTGATCAAGGCCCACGTGGGTCTGCGCCGGTTCGGCGAAGCACTCGCCCTTTACCGAGATCTCCGGAGGGACGCCGGCTTTTCACCCGATAACTTCACGTTCACGGCGCTGGCGAAGTGTGGCTCGTCGGCCGTGTCCTGTTGGGAAGGGCTGCAGGTGCAGTGCCATGTTGTTAAGATGGGGTTCTGGTCCGACTTGTACGTGTCCACGGCGTTCGTCGATTTGTATGCGAAATGGGGGAGCGTGGAAGCTGCGAGGATGGTGTTTGACGACATGAGTGTGAGGAGCCTGGTGTCGTGGACGGCTCTGATAGGTGGTTACGCGAGGAGTGGGGATATGGGAAATGCGAGGAAGTTGTTCGAGGAAATGCCTGAGAAGGACTCTGCAGCATTCAACTTAATGATTGATGGCTATGTTAAGTTGGGAGATATGGACCCAGCCAACGATTTGTTTAACGAGATGCCGGAGTGGAATGTGGTTTCTTGGACTACGATGATCAATGGGTATTGCAATGTTGGCGACATAAAATCTGCTCGCTCACTCTTTGATGTCATGCCAGAAAAGAATCTATTTTCTTGGAATGTGATAATAAATGGATATTGCCAAAATAAACAGCCCCATGAAGCTTTGAGATTGTTTTCTGAGATGCAGTCAACTGCATTGGTTGAGCCTGATGAAGTCACTCTTGTGTGCGTTCTTCCGGCTATAGCTGATCTGGGTGCTCTAGATTTAGGCAATCAGGTTTATCGGTTTGCACAGAAAAAGAAGCTTGACCGAGCAACCAATGTGGGTACAGCACTTGTGGATATGTTTGCTAAATGTGGTGAGATCGGTAAAGCCAAGAGAGTGTTTAATATGTTGCATGAAAGACAGGTAGCTTCTTGGAATGCTTTGATAAATGGGCTTGCAGTCAATGGGTGTGGCAAAGAAGCATTGGAAATATTCCTGGAGATGCAACAGCAAGGTGTCCCACCAAATGATATAACCATGGTTGGTGTGCTATCTGCATGTAACCACGCTGGTTTGGTGAAGGAAGGGAAGAAGTGGTTTAAAGCAATGGATGAGTTTGGGCTTGCCCCTCAAATTGAGCACTATGGTTGTATGGTAGATCTATTAGGTAGAGCAGGATATTTGGAAGAAGCTGAACAGATAATCAAGAGCATGCCCTATGAGCCTAATGCAATAATATTGAGCTCCTTCTTATTTGCTTGTGGATACTTCAAGGATGTGATGAGGGCAGAGAGGATTAGAAGGAGAACAGTCAATATGGAGCCGCAAAATGATGGGAACTATATTATGTTGAGAAACCTATATGCAGCGGAGAAGAGATGGACTGATGCACAGGAGATTAAGAGGTTGATGAGTACAAATGGAGCAAATAAGGAAACTGGTTGCAGTGTTATTGAGATTGATGGGAGAATGAGTGAGTTTTTGGCTGGAAACAGATTACACCCACATTATGAGATTATCCATTCAACATTGGGTCAATTATTTAAGCATATGAGGGGACAAGTCATTGACCAAGCACTATATTGATAGCAATGCTCTGTGCAGGATGATTAATGGGGTTACACTTGGCACTTCATCACAAATTGGACAGTGAAAAGAATTTCCACTCGTCATGGTTGAGTCTCTCCAGTGGCTCTGTTGATAAATCTCCATATTGGTCAGTCCGTCAAGGTAAGGATTGAATGTGGCTTTCTTTACCTTCCTTCCTCTCTTAGGTTAGGTACCCTAGTAGGCAGACAAACCAATTGCCTTTCCCCTCGGGATTACTCTAAGAGCAGCTCTTACTGCTCTATTTTGTGTCTTTTTATTCAATTAGAACTATCAGTTATACTCTCTGCAAAATGTGGCAATCTTTATTGCAGTTGGCAGATCTGGACAGAATTAGGTTGTGTGGAGATGCTATGCTGTTTAGTCTACTGCTTTCTGTCCAGATTAATTTCGAGGGTATATTGAGATTTGATCCCTGTTATTGGCTTTTTCTAACCACCATGCCTAATAAAAGGGCCCCTTTCCATTAGTGCTGCAATTTCCATCGTCAGTGTTGCTTAGTCATAGCAGTCAAAAAGGTACCAATATTGTGTATTTGCTGCTATATTCTTTTTGGACATAGTAATGGACAAAAGATCATGAGTTTTAGGCCTATGGAAGCTTCTGTGGTCTTTGGTTCCACTCGGCTATATTTTCTTACTTAACGTGATTTTTTTTTCCTTTACAGATTCATAGTCAGCATCTATATTTCACCTTCACCAGATTACTGGAACACCATGGATTCTTGTCCTCTGGATAAAGGCCTCAAGTCATGGATGAAAGATGAAGCTTTAAGCATGGTCTGAATTTCCTGTGGTAAGTGGTACTTGTTTTTTTTAACTCGTCTGCAAGGTTCCTTGACCATGTGCCATGCAAAAGAAAGGAAGGAATAACTATTTGCTTGAGGTACATGATAAAATATCTCATTTCATACCTTGAGATATCTGTTTTAAAAGTAGTAATTGATCCATTTTCTGCGATTTTAGAAGGGGTTAAAATAGTACCTGCTAAGTAATTATGCTCATTGAAGTGCAGCCATTGCGGGAATAGCAGGATCCAGAAGAACATGTCTGCAATTTGATCAATAGAGAATTAGTATTGCATATTCTTAGAGTTTATTGACCAGAAATTATGGTATTGTTGCTAGGAGGTATGTTTTGATGGAAAAGATGGTGAGCACCTTAGTGGGGGCCTTATTGTTGCATATTCTCAGACAAGCACATTTATTTGGATTAGATGCTGGTTTTTACACATAATACAAACTGTTTCTTTTGTGTATGTGTGCGTGTGTGTGTGTGTGTTGCTTATCTTCTTTGATCTTGATGTTGGATCTTGATTGACACCGTGACGAATAATGATATTTCCTCAGCTGTAGTTCAATGTAAACAGACATGATAAATTGTCACCGTTACCATTGTAGTCATAGTCTTGTTCATAATAACTTTCCTTTTTTGCCGTAAGACTTGATCATATTGAGAAGATCATTTCCTTATTTTTATAACGGCTCATCTAAACATAGGAAAAGAAAATCAATTTTCGCATACTCCAAAAAAGTTATCGATTTAGAATATCAAGTTAGCTGACCCCACCTAGTGTGTAAAAGCTTTGTTGTTTGTTATGGGTCTAATTTAGAATATCAAAGTAGTTCTTCAACATGTAAAGATTGCCTACTTTATACTGATGGCCTGGCTAAGTCAAGATGGTTATGGTTGGATTTTACTCAATATACTCGTGATTCGAACTAATCCATCTTTAATTTCCTATTTAAAGGAATTCTTGAAATTAAGTGATATACTTTATGAAGAGAATGCAGTACAAAAGAGGACTGACGAGAGGATTTGGTGGAGACATTTCCAGATGGCAAAAAAACAATGGAGCAAATCAAAGCCAAGTCATCATACTGAATGAGACAATGTGGGAGGTAGCAAATTTATTATGCACTCGAAAGAGTATACTCGTTCTGTCAGAAGGTAGGAGTTGAGCAGTATTTCTTGTGCGCATGTAACTTTTCTACAATTGCATGCAAGGGACATGATTCGACATGTTGGGTTGTCACAATAAAGGTTGATTTTTGAGAGTGTATGAACCAATGATTAGTCCAATGATAGGCAAGCATTGTGGCATAAAATTGGCGTACAGTCTACTTCCATTTTTTAAGAAGAGACTACATGGTAGGCCTGAGAAGCCCAGGAGAGACCAGATGTATCGAGAACTTGTTCGCGGAAACCACAAAAGCTGTTCATGAAAGCACAGAGGTCTTTAGGGTGTGGAATTTGCTCACAACTTGAGCATAACAGAGGACTATCGAAACTGAGGAGACTATTGAGTAATGGCAGATCAAAGCCACACAGGATGGAGTTGGCTAGGGCCTAATTTCAATTCATCTGGATGGTGTGGATAATTAATCGAGGCCTACAGTGAAGTCAGTCTAGTCCCGTTAGCCAACTAATTCGAGCAGGTCCAGGTCGGGTTCAAAGTATTTTATAAAAAGAATAAGATAGAAGTAGAGTTAATCACCTTGCACTGGAGACTGGATAGGATTAAAAACCCTGGATGAAGCTGGAAAAGTCAAATTCGTTAACGTTTCAGGCACATTTCCACTTCTCTCTGGGTGACATGAAAAAGTACATAGACCCTTACTCAGAGAATGAAGCTTCAACAGACAATGTGGCAACATAAACGGATTGTTATAGTTGGACCACAAAGATTCAGAATCAGCATCAAAAAATGGTTTGGCTGCTTGACTTTGAGGATCAATCACTGTTGGGATGTGAGGACTAGTGAAGGATTCATAGTTTGTGCAGGAACAGGGAAGAAGAAAAGAAATGATCTTTCTTTAGCAAGAGGGATATTAAATATATGTAGGTGATATGGCACTTTATGTTCGGTCTTGTGTAACTTGGTGACGTTACTCGCTGGATTGACTTGATTGTTGTGATATACACACAAAAATAACACTCTTCCGTGGAGGCTTTCGCGAAAATTTTCTGATGTAATCCCTTTATGTTGGATAGCTAGGACATTCTAGCATCAGTTATTGAGTCTTGCTCTTAAATGATGCCGAGAATATTCAGGTATTATATTTAGGTTTGAGCCACTAGACACAAAATCTTGGTAGTAGGAAACCTCATCGAGTGACACAATATGGGGATACTAATAGAGTTTCCGAAGTTTACCAAGTTGATAATCCGCTGGTGTAAATCCTTCGAGTATAAAGAAGGCATCATTATAAAAATACCGGGTGCCCTTGCTCTTGCCATCACCTTTCAGTGTATGCATTTTTGGTACTGCTATTTCATAGCCAAATGGAATCTGTAAGATTTTTTCTAGGCAAAAGCTTAAATCAAACCTGACTGCCTTCTTTTTACTTCACTCTATGGGATAATGGTGCTATGACATTTTGCAAAATAACCTTCTGATGTCTGTCCTAAGGGAAGCCTTGGCCCTTGCCATGCAGAGACTTTGAAGATAGATTAAGAAAGATCTTCTGAGGTTCCATATAAAAGTTTTGACTTAACCATAACCAACAAATCCTCTTTCATATCCAGTTCTGCTTACTCTCCAAGTTTCCAGAAATCTAAACATGCCATTAAGCGATGCATAAAAGCAAGGGTCTCAATGCCATCTTGTTTTGGTCATCTTGTCAAAGTGCCCTTGCAGATGTTTATTGCTTTTTACGAGTCCGACCTTGCCTAAAAGTAAGCTCGAATCAAAACTCATGTGATGAGTTGACGAGTTTAGCTCAAGAAGTTCCGACAACAATTTGTGACATGGTCGGTGATGTGAAAGACAGCAAAAAGGGACAAAAACAAAGTTAGATTTGACAAGAATTGAAGCTGGAAGGGTTTATAAAACCGACTTTGTTTATGGAATGAAGAAAAAACTAATGTAGCAGCATAATTCTGGTTTTAGTATTTTCAGGTGTCTTCCCTTTTATTTAGCATTTCATTGTACTATCTAGTTGAAAGAAAACCAAAAACCTTAAATGAATAGTGTGATACATTTACCCTAAATATTTCTCCGTAACACAAAAATCCTAAACTTATACCTCGTATAACACATTTATCCTCCGTCAAGGTTTTGTCAATAAACACCGTTAAAAACCCGCCTACATAAACATCGGAAAGCAAATGGTGTTAACACGGCGCCCATGTGACTTAAATAAAAATAAAAAAGGCGTTTTGTTTGAAAAATTAGCTGACTAAACCTTAACAGAGGGTAAATGTGTACCATAGGTACAAGTTTTGGGTTAAGTTCAAGGTAAATGTGTCACAGTAGATATAATTTGAGGTTTTTTATATAACAAAAAAAAAGATTTAGATAAATATGTTACAGTTGGCATAATTTGGATTTTTCGTGACCTTTTCTTAACTTAAAATGCTGAAAGTTCAATTATGCTGAACACGTATCGCATACTCATCATCAAATGGCTAGGCAAACAAGCCAAAGCAATACTAAAATTATACTATTTTTCTCATACAATCACCGTCTTTGGTCCCACATTCCATAGCCTGCAACCGCCTTGTCAACATGTTGCTTCAACAAGTTGCAATCACCTTCTCTCTGAACAAAGAAAGGATTGACATTGAGTTTAGTTTAATTGAGAAATTCGGGATTGAGGTTTAGTTTAATCGGAAATTTAGGGATATCAAACATTTTCGAGCAAAGAGACCCTCGTCCGTGGTGCGAAATACAACATGTGAATGCACCTGATTGTCATCCGGTAAAGATTTGTTTATGTTGGTGAAATAAGGGGTCAATTGAGTTGAATGCACCAACTTTTTAATGGTTCTTTGTGACAAACCCCACTCTTTGAGGTACTATGAGAAAAATGCACCACTTGAGGTTTATGAAATTTTCTCAAAATTCAATTATGCCCCTTCATCAATTTCACTTGGTGGTAATGCCTAATTGTGGCATACGTTTCTTGTTTTCAGTGATTTAATAGTCTCCCTCGGTTCTTGCCACGGAAGACTTTGGGTTGTATCAATTCCAGTGAGAAAGAAAAGCATGTCAAGGACCCTGCCTGGCCTCATCTTTCACACCTGAACATGCACGGCAAAACCAAACCTTCTCTCATTCTGATTTGAGACAGCAACCATAAACCAATGCGAAGAGCTTCCCAAGAACGAGGAGTTCAATAAGAATGTAATATCCGGCCAGGTATATTAATTGGTCTTGGTCATGTTAACCAGGTGGTTCATGAATGCTTACATGTCCAAGAGTGCATCTACTGTCGATGCTAAAAGGAGCTGATAGATACTTCTTCAAGTCTACAGTGCATAAAAAATTTGTGCATGAAAAAATTCAAGCGTCACTAAATCCGCCGGAAACTATTGTTCTTCAACTTTTTTCCCAGCCAATCAAATGCTCAACAATCAAAGTGTACATGCAAGCATCCACCATTAGTATCGAGAGTCTGAGACTGCCAACAACTGTCTTTGAATAATACTTCACTAAGGAAAATGTTGCACTGTGCAATACTAAACTCCCGCATTTTTCACAACAACCATGGCACAGCTACTTCCATGTCTAAAAAGAAACAGTCTATGACTATCTAGGATCTGTATCAATGCATACAGGTGGGGGAAAATAACAACACCGACACACCACCAGTTTTCTTTTAAGAACGTCAAGGAAAAGAAATAAAAAATTAAAGAAGAAAACCACATATAACGGTCCTGCCCTTTGGATGAAAAGCGCAGCTAATCTCTCTGACGGATCTGCTCTTCTAACAAATGGAAGTCCAGAAGCCGAAGTCCATGGAGCATCATTCTGTAGCTATGGACAAATTGTTCGGCTTGCCAAATACATCAAATCCCCTTTGAAGATTCTGCCTGGTGGTGCTCCAGATTACGAAGTACAATTCTCGCAAATATTTTGGCCTCCAGTGGTGCAGTTGCAGCGGCAGCTGTTGCACGCAAAACTCTAGCAGCTCCGGCATTTTGCATAAGTTTCGCATGGTGCAAAGCATGGCGGCCACCGGGAATGGTAAACTGCAATATGGAAATGCCACAAACAATTATGTTACGCTTGAATACGAAGGAAAATGGAGGGAACGAAAATTTGGATGCAAAATGGAGAAAAATTTAAAAGTTTTCGTTAGAAGGAGAAATTTTGAAATTGTGTATTTTCTCTAGCAATTTTCGTCACCCCTTCTCCCAAACCTAGCATTAGGGAATTTTGTCTTCCTCGAGATTTGAATGGGGATATGTTTCTTTTGAACCAGGGGAATCAGTGAGCGGTAGCTCTATCTGAGTTTCTCAGAAAATGATGGTTTTAAAATGCATTTTTTACCCTTTCCCTTACAATCTATCTACATTATTAATTAGGTCTCAATGAAAAAAAGATATGCAATTTTCTTTTCGATTCTGACTTGGATTCTGACAGAGACTATTGTCTTTGCAACAGTAAAGGAATCTAAATGGATAGAATAATTTAATTCTAATCCATATTTGTTATCGAGAAAGAAAACTCTCTTTGAATTTACATTCATGCAATTAAAATTTGGTGTGCAGCTCTAAGATAAAGTAGTTCTAGATTTAACTTCAAGGATATACCCTGGAGTTTGTATTTAGTTTTATCTGTATATATCTTATGTAATCATCCAACAAAACTTATGTAGGAGGCTAGTTACCTGGAGAAGGGCAAATGCTGCGCATGCCTTGAGTACAGAAGGATTCTTTAACATGGAGATAAATCTTCCCATTTCAGCTCCACTGAGAAATAATTAGAGGGAGAAGAAAACAAATAACGATAGTGCGAAAAGAGCAGCTGAGAAAAAAAAAAAAACAAAGCAAGTGGCCACTTCTCTTCTGCTGAAACAGCTAACCAACAAAAGTATCTTGCTGTGCCTAGTGCTCACATGGACAATATTGAACCAGCAATATAACTTCTTCTCTAATAATCATTCCACATCTCTTTGAAAGAAAGTTGCATGCAGTGATTCCCATGCATTACACAATTTATATATCAAAGTACCTACCTCTGATTTCTTATTAGCAGAGATAAATGTAGTAAACGTGTCTAAATAAGCAAATTAATCAAATGAAGATAAAAGAGGAATGGATAGCAAATTCAAAGATAAAACTTCAGGCAAGAACATCTACATATTTGTGGCGGTGGAATTGAATTGGATATGAGGGAAGATGGTGGGACCTGCATCTCAGATGTCCTGCTTCTTGAATACGAGCTCCTTCTGTCACTTCTGCTAATGCTGCAGGAGCAGACGATGCAGCTGCAGTAGTGAAAGCTTGCCGATCGGAAAACATAAGGATAAAAGCTTCAATGTGCTTCAAAGCCATCCTTCTTGATCCATCTAAGCTCACAATCTTAGAGGTGCTTTCTGATGAAGTCCCAACCAATGCATATTCATCCATCCTGCAACATAGATCAAGAAGTTTCAGCATATCAGTTTCGTCGTGTTAAGATAATAAAAACTCTTCCAATATGAGGATCTACACAAAAAAAAAAAAAAAAAATCTTTTTTTGTTGAGAGCTAGTGCACCAACTAAATGAAAAGTCACACAGCTCTGGGCCGGACAAGTACTTCCATTACAGCATAATCAAGAAGTATTTTGTAGTATATTTTCAAATCTACATCACAGCTTCTTCAGATTCTTGAAATCTGTCCTGGTATTCCACAACAAACTTCCTGGTTAATTAAAGTTGTCTCTGTAGTGAATATTAATAGAAATAACGTGACAGATCAACTTCATTCGGGAAGATATATCATGTGCACTACAAAGTTATCAAGTAGAGGTACAGGACCAGAATACTATGCTACCAGGTTAGAAAAAAGTACCTGCCATCAAACATATATGCCAAGGCTAATGCAGCCATGAAACGTGCCATTTTGGAGACTGATGAGGAACAAAGATGAACAAGAGCAGGAACTCCTCCTTCCTCCACTATACGGAGAGCGTTACCAGGGTTGAAAGCAAGATTCCATAAAGCACCAGCGGCAGTTTCATGGACATCCTGAACATACATTGTAAATCATGTTATGTGAAAAGCCATGTTTCTACAGCTAACAAAGGCTAAATTGAATAGCAGGCA